TGGCTGGATCCACACCCAGACAGTCTGATGCCGTCAGCCACACCCTCAACCACTGCACAGCTCTGCCGCTGGGTGTGGGGAGAAATGACAGAGGTGAAAGGTGTCAGAGCGAGGAGGCGAATTGTGGAGCCAGGGCTCAGGGAGGGAGGGCATCTGACAGAGGGAGCAGGGGCAGCGATGCTGGGCTGGGGCCGGGAATCCTTTCTGAAGCCGGTGAGAAGGCAGGAAGGGAGATGCAGATAGAGGAGGGCAATGGCTTTCTGTTAGGGGCTTGGTGAAGAGGGCAGATCCGCTGAGAGAGGAGGGGCCGCGTGCAAGATCAAGTACAAAGGCCTGGGGGAGGGAGGGCATGCGGCTGTGTGAGGTGGCGGCAGGAACAGATGGACTGTCAGCGTGGCTGGGGGGAGAGAGCCGGAGGAGCAGGGCGGAAGAGTGAAGTTAGAGAGCAGGGAGGACCCTGCTCCTGAAGGGAGGGCCAGGGGCCGTCGTTAGCATTTGGGCTTTTGATCGGAGTGACGGTGCATTTGGTGCGGAGAGGGACAAGGCCTGACTTGTTCTAAGAGGATCCCGGCTGCCTCTGTGTCTGTGTGCAGTGTGCGTGCGCAGACGCATGCACAGGGCAGAGGCGGGAGGCGCAGGCCGGAGACGCAGCCTGCAGTGGGGGATGGTGCTTGTGGCGCTCTAATACGTGTGGAGCATAATGTCGGACGCCGAGAGCACAGTGGGGAAGAGTTCAGGCATGGCCTTTGCCTGGAAGCTCTCAGCCCAGTTCAGTGCTTTCTCACTTGGGCCCCATTCGGTCTGATCAAATGATGGAATCAATACCCCACCCCCCTCCACCCCCACTCCTGCCTCCGGGGAGGGGGTCACCTAACAGGCAGCAGTGACACTGGGCTGAGTATGTCTTTATTGGGGGTGGGGTGGAGGGGCAGTTGTTTAGCAACATCCCCGGTCTCCACACCCTGGAGACAGGAGCGCACCCCCTCCTCCGCCCTCCCAGTGTGGCCACGTCTCCAGACATCGCCACGGGTCTGGTGGGAGACAGACGCTAACAGAGCAAATAACGAGGTGCTCCTCTCTCCATAGTAACTGCAGGGAGGTGGAGGTCCGGATCGTCTTTCTTTTGATTTTCATTTTGTCCCTGCATCCCTTCCATCTCTCCCCACACACTGTGGCCATCTGTCTCTGGTGGAGGTACCATCCCCCCATGCCCTTCCCTTCTCCCTCCATTTGCCTAATCCTGCCAGTCCCTCCTAGAAAGAAAGAAAGAAAAAAAGACCTTCCAGGGGGACCTTCCTCACGGCCTCTTTGTGGCTGTAACACGACTCCTCCTCCTGAAGGTGAGCCCTCCTGTCAGCGGGCCGAGAGGAGCAGAGCAGAACCAGATATTTAAACCATTTCCTCGCCTCCGTCCCCGCTGCTCTTCCCATAACGGGCCCCGGGGCCTGCTGCGAGCGGGAGGCAGATCCCTCGGAGCGTGCTGATTTCACAGGCGGCCGGACGGGCTATCTCGGGCTGCAGCTTGTCGGGGCCGCTCCCCCTGCTGCCGGCCTGGCTGCGGGCCAGCCGAGCGGAGAGCCATGGCGGGGAGGCCAGGCCGCCTCCGCTGGTGAGGGTGCCTGGGGAAGGGAGCTGGGGCCAGCCCTTCCTCTCCTGGGAGACCAGCGTTATCACCGAGGCCCCGCCTGGCTTCCTTCTGCCCGGTGCTCTCCCCCGATTCTCCTCGTCCCCTGGGAATGAGGAGAGAGGCAGGCTTAATCTATTTCTATTAGCTCACTGCTTATTAATATCACCACGGAACCTGCTTGTTTAGGCCTGTGCTGGCTTTTCTATCCGGATGCACAATGGTTGCATTTTTTTTTTCCCCCCTCTTCCTTTTGCTTTCAGCTAAGGATTGCCTACTTTGGCACAATGGGACGGTTGGACCACATCATTAGCAGCATGCCTACTAGATGCTAATAGTGATCACCCCCACATCTACAGACATGGTTACATATCCTGGGGGACAGGGTGGGGGTGACAAAAACACCCCTGGTTAAAGGAATATAAAAGCCTGACTGCAGAGATGGCAAAGCGACTCCCCTGAAATCTTGCTGAAGGTTTCCAGGGAGAAAGGAGGTTTCTCTGGGCCTCTGGGGAGTCTGATCTAAACCTCCCCCACCTGCACCCGCCATCCAGGACTTAACACTCATTGCCCAGGGAGCTGGCCTCCTGGAGAAAACACTGGCGGTGCTTCTCTTCTCTTTCTGTGGAGGCAAGGGAAGGTCCGGGCTCAGCGACGTGGAGTCCTCACCAGGTTGGAGGCCTGGCCTCTGGCCCTTGCCAGCTGTGTGACCTTGGGCAGCTCACTTCACGGCGCTGGGCTCACGTCCACGTCTGTAACCCGGCTCCCTGCCTTCCCGGAGCCGGCCTGTGTCAAGTGCTGACTTAGCCCAGGGCCTGGCTGGCCGGGAGCAGTGGGTAGCTGAGCGGCCGCCACCCCTTTGTGCAGGGAGGGTTTGAGGAGGCCCCGGGATGATCTCTAGACTCGGGCCGGCAGCCCTGGGAGGGCCTCTTATCAGCCACATTCCATCAAGCCCGTTAGGGGCCCTTAGCGTGCCTGCCCTGGGCTTCCTCCTTTTTGATCCGTCCTTGGCCCAGGATTCCTTCTGCCATGACACCTTTGTCACTGTCCCCAGCCCCAAAGCCGTTTTCCAGATAACCTCAGATCTACCTGAATGCCAACAGCATTCCTCAAACGGAGCGGAGCTGCCAGAATAAGCCTGCAGCTTCCTGCTCTTTGCCCCAGAAAACATCAAGTGATCAGAGAGAGGAGGGAGGGAGGGGGGGGGGAGGGGGAGGATGCTGCAGCTGCTTATGCAACAAGCTTTAATCCCTGGTTAAAATCCAGCACGCCGCACCAGCAGCACATTTCATTTCCTCATCGGGTCGTGAAGTTAGCTGCATGCAAGATTCATCGCAAACTCACAGTCATGTCTCCCCCCCCCCCCCCCCCCCCCACACACACACAAAAAAGTAGCCCGGCAGAGACGAACAGTATTCCCCAGGGAATGGTGGTGGAGGAAACACAGTTTGATTAGCTCTGGCCTGCGACTCTTGTCCCCCATTTGGTGTCCCGAGCTTCCCACCCCAGGAAGAGGAGGCCCTCCCTTCTGGTGAGGCCCAGGCCGGCTGCCCTGCGTGCTGGCCCTCCCTGCATCTTGGCCTCTTTAGCCTAAAACACAACAACAACAACAGCAACCAGATCCCCTCCCTTCTCATGCAGCCCAGGCCCTGTCCCTGCAGTCCTGTGTGTGTGGGTTCCTGGCTCGTTGCTACTTCATAGAAGGTTCTTCCAGCAGGAGGGATTGATGTACCCTCGGTGGGCATTTGTTGTCCCTGTGTGTGTGTGTGTGGGGGGATGGGGTGAGGGGAGAGGGGGTGGGGAGAGCAAGCCATCAGCTCTGTTTTCTTTGTGGGAGCGAATGGTGTGGGACAGGGTAAGACTGGGCCATCGTTTTACCTCCTGGAATATGGCTGCCTCCCCTCGGGAAGCTTTCTCCAGCCTCTAAAGAAGGGTGTTTATTTAGCTTCTGATGTCCCACGTGCAGTTTCACAGGGAATCTTGCTCATGAAGCACCTCGTCTGGAAGAAGGAGGAGGAAAGCAAGCACGGACATTTCCAGATCCTTTTGGGTTTTGCCTTTCCCTTCTCAGGGCTCAGACGGATGACAAAGGCAGAGCTCTGGGGAGCAAACAGGCAAAGACCACCTACCACTATTGAAACGGGTGGCATTATAAGCAGCTCTGAAAAACTAGTTAATATTTTACTGGGGAGCAGTGCCAGAGTGGGGGGGGGGGAAGAGAAGAGAAAGAGCTGGCAAGTCTAGAGCTGTGTGTGAAATAGCTGTTCCATCTGCCTCCGGGGACGAAAAGAAGCCGTCCTCTGTGGAAATAAATTTCAGCAAGAGCCCTCATAAAGCCCCTGGGATTTGCCTGCCCACCGAGGGCCCGGCTCCCCAAGTGCATACATACAGGGGTGATTGTGACAGGAAGGGCTGAGCAGCGGGTGTGTGCCTGACTATAATAATGGGGGTTCTTGTTCCCTCCCCGGTCTGACATCTTTCTCTCTCCCCCTGGATTTAAATGGCTTCTCAGACAGAGAGGCACTGCCCGTGCCCTGGATTCAGAAGGTACACGCCTCCTTGGGAAGCAAAGGCGAGAGACAGCGGCTCACTCTCTCTCTCTCTCTTTCTGCATCTGCCGGGGGAGCTGCAGCTGGTATTTTTCCACAGGCCTTTTCTGCGCTCTCGGGGCCTGGTCCTTCCCAGCCAGGCCCGGCGTCCGAGAGAGGGTTAATAGGCAGGAAGCTGAAGGCATCGCAGGCTAATACGGAAGTCAGATTTTTGTTTAACTGACAGGTTTAGCAGGCCTCGGCGGTGGGGGAGGGGGGCGGGAGGGGAAGGGAAGTCTGTAGATCTAGGCATGTGGCCTGCTTAGGAGCGCCTTTGGCTTTTCTTAGGGTAAGGACGGAAGGGGGGCCGCCCCTTGGCATCCTGGCAGGGAGGCAGGAGCCCATTTTGGTTTTTCCTTTGCCTCCCGGCTGAGAGGACGGAGCCTGTGCTGCCAGGATGGCTCTCCGGCCTGCTTTTTTCCAGGAGGCGTTTTGACAATGACTATGCAAACTTGACCACTCTGCTCCTCTCCTCCCCTCCTCCCCCCTGCAGCCCAAGCCTCTGTGCTCTGAATAGCCAGGGCTGCTCTTCAGCGATTTTCTTGGGGTTTCCCTGCTCTGTCTTGTCTGTCCCCCAGCTCCACAGAGGCCTGCCTCCAGCCCTTTTCTCCTGCCCCCCTGGGCCCATTTCCTGGGGCTCCCTACTCCTCAGCTCCCCCTCCCCCCTCCCCCCCTGGGTGGACCATCCTGCTGGATTGTTCTAGAAAAAGGGCCAGCCTTCCTCCTAGCAGAGAGCCGCTTTTGAGGGGGGCAAGTGAGGGTGAGCCCTGCCAGCTCACTTCCAAAAACTCTCTTTGCAGTGGCATCTGGGCCTCGGGCTTTGCTGGAGCAGGTCAGGCTGGCTGCCCTGGTTCGCCCGTGCTGGGAAAGCTAGCCAGGGTGTGGGAGAAGCGCGTCGGGGGGCCCCTTTCCCAAGTTTTTCTCGCTGCAGAAGGCCTAGCTTAGCCTGCCTTTTTCTATGCACAGGATGGCTCTTGCTCACCAGAGCCTCACAAAGATAATCGCTCAGGAAGTGTTTCAGCCAATCCGGGGCCGCCTTACACTCGGATTTGCTGGGCCAGCCAATCGGGGATGAGCTCTTATTGGGCGGCCAGATCATCAAGCCGAAGTGCCAAACCCTTTTTCTGTGAGAACTAGGAGCCTGTCCTCCATGTTTTATAAGTATTGACATTACACAGTGTTAACAATGCATCCACAGAGGTAAGCTCGACTTTTTAACCATCTTTTCTCCCCCCTCCCTCTGAGACATCCGAATTGTGGGCGAGCAGTGTGATTTCTCCGTGGCTGGCCGGGCCACACTCCCCCCACAGCACTTAGGTTAACTTGGAACTGTTTAGAGAGATTTTTTTTTTTTTTTTTTTGCTTTCTTGGGTCACATGGCTCAGGAGCCATTAGCCATAGCTCGGCTTTGCAAACTGGCAAGGGCCTGGCACACCTTTCCTTCCACCAGGACATGGTGTTTCTGAAACAGTTTGAAGCTAGATATCCTCCTGGTATGCCAAAAAAGAGGCTTTTTCTTTCTTTCTTTTTTTTTTTTCTTCCTCCTCTTTCTCTCTCCCTCTCTCTCTCTCTGAGCAGTTTCCCCTCTGCACTATTGTCTTCTCTTGTGTCACATGCCTGCTGGGGAAGAAAATGGAAGGTGAGCAAGCAGGCTCCTCTCTAAGGAGAGCTCATGGCAGACAGCAAAGCAGGCAAGTTTTTCCTCTCCAAAGAGGGTTCTGGGAAAAGCTGGACTAAGTTTGGACCAGAGAGGACGTGTGTGTTTTTAAACCAGAACCAAGCCCTCAGCAGAACAGGGCTGAGAGCGCCTGGCTCCTGGGGCCTAGGTGGGGGGTGGTGTCTCTACATGGTCTTTTCTCTCCCTACAGGGTTTGCTTCACTTGAAAACTACATTGTTCAGCCTCCCCCCCGCCCCCCTCACTTCTGTTGATAACAGAGTGTTTTTGGTCTCCTGCAAAGCCAGCCTGCAGCCAGCCAATGTTTCTGAAAGTGTTTTTCTAGGCTTTGGAGGAAGTTTTTGGAGTAGGGATGGGGGGTGGGAGTGGGGGCTGGGGGGTGGGGGGTGGGGGGTGGGGTAGATGTTGGACCACATCCTGCAATAAATCTGTGAGGATTCCTTTTTTTTTTTTTTTGGATCCTTGAGCTCTCTATTCTTGCATGATGTTCAATGAACTAATGTCTCTTTTATCCTTTTTTTCCTTTTCCTTCCCCCCCCCCTCATTGTATCATCTTTTGCCCTCCTGTGATAGTGCAGAGGAAATAAAATCACGTCTGTGGCTCATGACAGCATCCCCCTGCTTAGTTGTTGGGTTGTGTTGTTGTTGTTGTGTGTTTTTAATGATCCCATGTAACTGTTTTTAAAAAAAAATTTCCTTTTTGATCAAGTCCCAAATCTGCCAGCCTGTTCTCTCTTCTTAACTGTGGAAAAATGAGACGGTTGCTTGAACATGTTGGGTAAGTAAAGCGATCCATTTCCTCTGTGACCATGTATTAAAGAGTTTGGCGGACATTGGGGGTCTGTTTTATAGCAGGGGGTCTTGGCTGGAGCAGTTGGAGGGCTTTTCATTTTCATTAGCAGGAACCAAACAAGGGCTGTTTAATAGTGTCTTGATTTTAGGTGGCTGTTTGAATCCACTGTTGTTGTTTTTTTTCCCCCTGAGAACCTGCAGCTAGGATGGACAATTATACTTCCTGTGAACCCTCAGACAGGGGAGACGTGCAGTTCATTGTGGCTTGCCTGGAGACCTTTAATTGGGTTTGTTTGGATGTGAGCTAGAAGTCTGGGTAGGTGATCAGCGTGTGAAATGTAAGAATGCTTGTTCTTAAGAGTCACTGAGCCTTCAGCAAGTGGTGGTGGGGCAGGAGCTAGTGGTGGTGGTGGTGGTGTGTGTGTGTGTGTGGTGTGTGTGGGGATAGGGGTGTCAGTACTCAGGTTTTAAGATGCTAACAGGGAGTGTGAAATCCCACCCACCAGCAAACTTGATTTGATTAAGGGGACTCCCTGCAAAAAACAGATTTGGCCTCTGCCAAACCTGACCCACACACACATCTCTATGCATGCTTACCTTTATTTATGAATTATTTCTTACTTTTCCCATTTCCCCTTGATCTCTTAATGCTGCAGTTAGAACTTCAGAGTGGAAAAAAAAGTGGGCTCTTGTTTCGCATTAGCTTCAGAATTTCCCTAGAAGTTCCATGCAATCAATTTCCAGCCTGGAGACCAGTCCAGCATAACTGTAAATGCTGGAGATATATTCCATGGCTGTGTTATGCTAACCTGATGGAGTTGATAATATATTTTTTTCTCTTTTAAATGAGTGTCCAGCTTTTAGCACCAATTGGAAAAAAGGCTCATTTTGATGGTGAGAAATGTACCAAATTCTAAGTTAAGAAGAAAAGTCTGTGGAAGGCCAGCTTCTTAGCGTAAAATGTCAAAAGAGTTAATGGTGTTTTCTATGTCTGCTTAAAACTGAGCAGTTGTCCTGCCCCACACAAGTAAAGTTCGGACATTTAGCTATGTTCTTTGTTCTTATCTCCTGACTGTAAATGGAAATTATACCCTGAGGTTCTTGTGGCCTCCCTAGAAGCAATATCTAATCACAAGACTCCCCCCTTGGTGCCTTCAGTGTTTGCATAATGGTGTGTTTGTTGGGCTGGAAGGAAACCTAAGGGCAAGGTATTTGTCCTCTAAAAGCTCACATTAAAAATGGCTCACACAGGTTTGCAGAGCCAAGAACTGTTTTCAGAGTGCAGCCAGCCCCAGCAAGTCCCCAGCCTGGGCCGGCCAGCCCCTTCTCCTGGGTGCTGCGGCCACCCCTGAGCATGGGTCTGTACCAAGTCAGTTGCTTTCAAAGTAGCATTATTTTCCAGTTTCTGTTAGGGGGTAGAAATGTCTGCATTGCAGCAGGACGAGGTAGGCACAGCAGGGCTGGCTCACAGAGCAGCCCAATGGGGCTCCTCTCTCCAGCTTTTGAACCAATGGACTGGGAGGAAAGGTTACAGATTGACAATTGCAGTGGCCGACTTGAAACTGGGCCTTCTGGAAATTTCTACCATCTTTGTTCCTTTTAGGCAAAACAGATCCACCCAGCGGAAGAGTCTCTCCTGCATTCCATTCCTGAGGCATTTCTCCCCTCCTCCCTCTCTCTTTTTTTTTTCTTCTTTCACATGAAGGTAGAAGGTTCTCTCTGCCACGTTGGGAAATTGCAGAGGGAGGGACAGAACATGGGGGCTGTTTTTTCCCTTTCCCTCCGGCCTCCGTCCCCAAAGAGGATGCACAGCTGCGAGGCACACACACAGACACATTGGAGCTTTTGATTCTCCCCTCCCCCTCCCTCTTCTTCCCCTTCAAGACCCTCCAGGATGGATTCACTTTCTGCTTTGGGAAATTAAGGGGCATTCACGTGGGGGGAGGGGGGAAAGCCACTGCTTTTATTAGCTCCAGAAAATGGTCAGTGTTCCCTCTGTAACTAGGAATTAATTATATGTAATCACTCAGTAAACTTTCTACATAGTTTTTCTAATTGCCAGGCATGGACATGGCTAGCCTGTTGGAGCCCCATCCAGTTACTTTTGTAATGTCTAGCTCAGAGAGTTTGAGTCCGAAAGAAGGAAACAATGGGGCATCTTGGATTATAAATTAGGGGATGAAAACAATAGCCTCCCCCCCCCCCCTCTTCTTCCTTCCTTGTAACCCCTTTTCTTTCCCTGGGAGGACAGGGGTGACCGGCTTCGGGTCTTAAATAGGAGAGGAGGCGAGGAGTCAGTCCATCCGTAAAAAGCCAGGGTGCCTGTAACCCAGAAAACCCTGGAGGCAGAGGTAGGTTTTGGAGTCCACCCACTTCCAATGTGTGATCTCTTTGTTTCTTTTGCCCTTTCCCTTCCCTCTCTCTCGTGGCAGAGGCAACACACATTTGTCAGCTGAGAAGCCCTAGGATCTGGCTTTGCCTCTGGGTGACCCTGACAAGAAAGACACTCAGAGAGTGCCTTTGCCACCGCCGCTCGCTCGGAGGTTTAGTAAGGGAATATGTTTACAAGCCCCGGTGCCGCTCGGAAATGCAGAAACAAGGATTCACCCTTGGCTCTTTTCAGGTTGCCTAGGCTATGGCTGCCCTTCCCCCTCCCCCGTCTCCTTCCAGATAAACAAGCCGGCGGGAGCCATTTCAGCCCTGCAGCTAGCCGGGCTGCTGGGCTGTCCCTCCTCATCAAGATTACCCACCTATCGGCGAGGAGCCAGCCACCCGTCCCAGCCCTGGCACAGCCTTGGGCAGCATGCCCTCCTGTCTCCCCTGGAGTGAAAAAGCAGTCACCTTGAAACTCTCCACTCCCAGCACCACGGCGCTGAGGCCAATGCTCAGACCTGTAGCAGTGAATTATTACATTATCCACGACGAGGCTGTGCGTGTGGCCTCGGAGAGCAGGTTTTGCAAAACCAGGGGGGTTCATTTTCAGGGCTCTGTTGGGGGTGGACCAAAACAAAAATTTCTAATTTGTGAGTATCCCGTGTATTGGCTGAAGAGCATACTGTCCTGTTGTGTCCTTGCAGACTCCGATTGTCTTTCCCTGATTCTGCCTCAGGGCCGCCTGGGTGTTTAGTGGCCGTTTTCAGGCTCAGACACAGCCTTTTGGCTTTACCTCGGCCTCCAGGCCGGGGGGCTGCCCTTTAGCGTGGCTTCTCAGATGCCCGCCGACCTGGGAGCCTTGTCCTTGTACCCAGCTCCTTCAGTACAGGTGCAAAGCTGGCTTTTAATAATCCCAAGAAGGAGGAATGGGCTTCCTTTCTTCCCCTCCCCAGCCTGCTGCTGCTTGCTCCCTTGTAACGTGTGTGTGTGTGTGTGTGTGTGTGTGTGTTGCACACACACCTGTCTGTCTGCTGCAGCTTCTGCCACACGGCTGCCTCTTTCCTAATCTTCAACCGCCTCACTCGAGGGCAGAGGGGGCCTCTTTAGAGCCTCCTGGTGCAGGCTCAGGATCCGAAAGGGGAGGCTTTTCCTTAGGAACCTGTGACTTCACAAGCTCCCCCTGTCATTGCAGGATTTTTTTTTTTTTTTTTTTTTTTTTTCTAAGCTTCTACACATTGGGTTGTTGGTGTCCTCTGGTTGAGCGCTGCTGCCTGGTTCTGATCTTCAGGAGGGTGACTGGGAAAGTAGCAGGGCCGCCTAACCACGAGCTGCAGCTATTGAACAAACTGCTACCATTTTAGCTCCAACCCAGGAATGAGGGAGGCAGTGTTGCCAGACGCCATTTTAAGAATCCTGCATAAATAGCTTAGCTACCGATGACTCTGCCCGTTTTAGGTGAGTGCTTATATAAAGCTGCTCTCTGCTAACCACCCCCCACCCCCACCCCCATTAAAACAAAATGAATTGCAGATTTAGGGGAGCATGGGTTTTAGAATTTGATGCTGGCTCTTTTGTGATCTAGAAGAGGAAGGTGTTGTGTCTTGGGGATTAACTGTTTCTTACAGCCTGGACCAGCTTGGGGTTTTGAATGAAAGTACAAGTCCTTTGGAATGATGCATGATGTTTGAATTGCTATAGAGCCAGAGTCTCCTGCATGCTAGTTGTGTATTCTAGATGGGTTTAGATATTCTTGGTTAAAAGTCAGAGAGTAGGGACACTTGGGGGAAAGGAAGATCTGGGCATTGTGTATCTGGGCATTTTTCTGTTAAAACTGTGTATATATTCTCCCCTCCTACCCCCCGTTTTGGAAGTGCTCAGGGGATGGGGTTCCTGGGAATTGCGGACCAGCCTTGAATCCTCAGAATTAATCATCAGAAGGCTTACAGCATCCTGGAGGTGCAGCAGTTCGTCTGCAACTTTTAATTGCTCTTTTTTAAAAGTGCATGCAGGTTAAGGGGAAGCATAGGGTTTCTAGCTCAGGCTTTGGGGGAGAAATCTTCTATTCTTTCTGGGACTGGCTGGCATGCTGTTGGTTATATGCTGTTATTTCTTGGAATTGTCTGAAATGTACCAGTCTGCAGAATCCATAGGCAAGTGACTTAGGGTAAATGGGAGTGTAAGAGGTGGTGGTGGTAACATTTGTATACAACTAGTTGACGGTGGATTTTCCTGTTGCGGGGAAGAGACTGTTGTTTGATTTTCAGCTAATAATTACCCTTTCCTCATGTGGCTATCCCCAGCCTCCCCTGCAGACTTTAAAAGAAAAAAAAAAAAAAAAAAAAGTAATGTCGGTTTGAAACAAGTGCTTGTTTCTCCATTGTTTTTTGACCTAGGTTAATGCGGGGTTGCTGGAAGCAAACAGAAAAGAAAAGATGCTTGGATATTTGCTAAGACTATAATGTGTGATTGACAAGAGTTGATTCTGCAGATACATCCACCTTGCCTTTTTAACACTTATTGTTATTTGACTGTGTGTGTGTGTGTGTGTGTGTGTGTGTGTGAACCCAAATGACTGAACAGTTCTTAACCTAAATTTACCAAGATCTGTGGGGCATTCAGACAGGTACAAATCTTTTCTCACCAACACTTTCGATGTAGTATAAATAGTTTTTCCCCTAATGACATACTAATATTTAAAACGAAGCTAAGAGAAAAACACACACACACACACACACACACCCCAAACCTGAGCTCAGTGGTGTAGAAAAAGGAAGTCCCTTTAGATGTGGCTATGCAAAATGACTAATTTTGCATTCTGGTCTTGGCTTTGGTAAATGATTCTCTCCCTTCCCCCCCTTGAACGCACAGACACTGCAATTTCCTTTACACACACACACACACACACACACACACACACATTCTTGTATGCATTGTGTGCACACACACGTGTGCATGTACGGGTTCCCCTTTGGAACGATGGCTTGCTGATCGGTGAAAAAGATGGGTTCTCTGGAATTGTGCTTGAAATCCTTGCTAAAGCTGGCGATGCTATTGCTAAAGTTAGGTGATTATGGTGGCCCACTTTGCAATACTTGGAAAAATAAAACGGCTTAACCCCCTGCCCTCTTTCTGCTTCAGAATTATCTTAAACTCAGCGGCAAACAGTCCCTGCATCACTAGTTTTGCATTTTCTGCTGAAAGTATTCGACTCCTCTAGGCTGTTACAAGCCAAATCATTGTTCTCTTGAATCCAGCCCTCCTCCATGATCCATATACCTTTGCATGATTTCATCCCTGCAGAAATACTTCAATTGGGTTTTTTGGGGCTCTGTGACGCATACATGGTTCCTTTCACGACCAGACATTTTGGTTGGGTCCCCGATTAGCATTTTTCTCCGTCACTTTAAATATGGGGTTGGTTTCAAGAAGTTTAAGATTTCACATACCGTACTTCATGCTAGAGGGAGAAACACTCCCAGTTGGTAGAAAGATCAAGGTGGCTATTTGTTCCTTGGAAGTGGACCATCTATCCAGCTCTGAGGGCTGCGTGGGGCTTTTTGTTAAAATTTACTTCCAGTCACCCCAAGCAACCTGTGTGTGGTGCAGGCAGGGTGTGTGTCTGAGTTGAGAGTCTGGATGCCTCTTACGTTGGAGTGGAAGGTATTAGTGCCCAAGTCACCTTCCACCATGGCCATTGCATCATTGCACGTTAGCGATGTGTTTGAATGGAAAAGACTGCTTTCTTCTGGTGGAAACCACTGGTGACGATCTGTCAGTTGTTTCTGGCGATTTGTGGCACAGCCTTTCTCTGCAGATGCAGTGTGCAAATGAAATTGTGAACGGGGCTCCATATCAGGGCGCGGAAGGCGTTAATAGGCTGATTTAAAACCGAACTACCTCTCTTCGCAGGGCTGCTGGGACTCGTGAAGTTTGAGGCCTCCACCTTCTTATAATTTCATTCTATAGCTGTCCCCTCTTCCTTTCTGTCTAGGCCCTGTTCTGATGAACTCTCTTCCCCCAACCAACGTGGAACTCCCCTAAACCTACCTGCATGTGACAGGCCTTCCTGGATGCTTTGGTCCCAGACAGTCCCAGCCTCCTGACTACAGAAGGGACACGCCAATCCTCTCTCTCCTACCCAGCCTCCCTTCTGTCCTGGCTTTGAGTCTTCACCAAATGGAAAATTCTAGCCATAGCAACTGGGAACACGCCCACTTCTTGTTGAACCGCAGTCTGGTGGAATTGCACTAGAATGAATGTTGAGATTCTTTTATTGTTGTTGTTAAATCTTCACCTGAAGATATATGTATTTTTTTCCATTGAGTTTTAGATAGAGTGGAAGGCTGAGAGAGAGAGAGAGAGAGAGACTGACAGACAGCAGGGGAATTGGGGTAGAAAGAGAGACACACACTGACTGGTTGCCTCCCACACACACTCCAGATAGAGCCTGCAACCTAGATATGTGAACCTGAGACCCTTTGGTGCTGGGACCGACACTCTAACCACTGACCCACACTGGCCAGGGCTGTTAAGATTCTTACCACTTCACTGTCAGCCCGAGGATGGTGGTGAACTTCATCATCTCATCATCGCACCTCACAATTTGCACCTATTTAAGCAGACCTTCCCTGGGTTGATTTAGGGGTGTGTGTGTGTGGGAAGATATGAAATGGTTTGTACTCTTGGGGGGGCAGGGGGAGAGTTCCAGAAGAGAAAGGGAGAGAAGATTCTGGTGGACCTTCCCAGCAAAGGGGAGGCCTGCTTTCTCGCTTCTCTTCCCCAACCCCCAACCCTCAGCCTCTCTTTCAAAGAATCCTTCCTCATTCCACTTTAGTGGTGGGGAATAATTAGTCACAGCTCAAAAGAGTGCCGCTGCTTTCTCTGAGCCATGCCTGCCACCCGGAGGAGACACCCCCGGGGTGGGGGTGGGGAGTGTGGAGACCCTGAGCCTCCTTCCCGGGATGAATGGTGGTGGCTGGAATGTTTTGAGACGGGGCTTTTTTTGAGACGGGGCTTTTTTTTTTTTTTGCTTCTAGCCCGGGCACATTTCTCTCCTTTGCAATTCTGTACTTTTCCCCCCTTGTTCCTGCCTGCCTCTTCCTGAAATGGTTAAGATGTAGCAGGGTGGTCTGAGAAATGCTGTTTGCCTTATAGAATTCAGACACCAGAACTCCGCACCCCCTGCAAACTGCCTCCTACCTGAATCCGGCGTTAGCAGTGAGAAGCTTGTTTACGCCAAGGCCGGGTCCTCATTGGCCCGTGGGGGCAGATTGTCATTGTGTATCTAAAACAAAAAATGCCTTTTGCATCCCCCCTCCCCCCACTAGCACGATTCCTGGGATAAGTAATTTGACTTAAAGAAAGGACAACGTGGCGTCTCCAGAATACTCCTTTGGGAGGCATTACCCTTTGTTTGCAATCAAGGGTGGGTTTCTTTACCCCCATCCCTCCATCCCTCCGTAAGGATGGGGGGGTTGCCGTTAGGACTTCTAAATAGCTAGCTGGCCCCTGGGGCAGGTTCTCTGTCTCCCTAAACCTGACCGTCCTTTGCTCTGTTTCAGCTTGGCCGAGGAGGAAATCAAAGCAGAACAGGAGGTGGTAGAGGGCATGGATATCTCTACTCGCTCCAAAGGTGAGTAAAAAACCTCGCGTTATCTATTCCGGATCAGCGGAGGAAATTGGAATTTCTTTTTCTTGTGGTGGTGCAGCGAAGGGTGGCTGCAGCCTCCTCTGATGTTGAGGCGTGTGAGACCTCCGATGGGTGAGCCTAATTTATGGAGAAAATCTCTTTCTGCTTTTCTTCCCCGGGCGTGCCCGTGCAGGTAGGCCGACCTGTCGGGGATTGTCCATGACCACACATTTTTTTTTTTTTTTTTTAATATTGACGAAGGGTGGCTGGCTGCCTCTCTCTGCAGGGTGACTTTCAGGAATCAGAGTTTAAATAACATATGTTCTGGGAGCGAGCCATCCCCAGCTGCGGCTGGGTTCCTTGTGTTCATAAACCTGACCCGTTTGGAATCACGGAAGTGGAGGAAAACGCAAGTCTTTCTGGGATTCGGGGACCAGGATGTGCATGCAGGGCAACATTTGGCAAATTGGAGCGAACACAGTGGATGTTTTCTGATGCAGAAACCTGTCTGTTGGGCTCCTCAGACTTCTCATTGAGGGGCTGGTGCGTTTGGTGTGGGGGAGTGTGAGGTTTTATGAGGCTTCCCCCAAAGGGAAGCAGGTCCTCCAGGGTGCTTGTTAAAAAAAAACAACGAGCGACTGGAGTATTTTTCATATCTTTGGCTGACGAGAACGCTCATCTCTGCACGTCATGGCTGTGCCACGCTGTTGCTAATCCTTGGCAGAGGCGCCACGTGCCTGCTCCGAGCGCTCTGCCCGGCGCTGTGGGCACCGGGAGGCCAGAGGGCTGGGGAGGGGGCTGGTTGTTAACAGACTCACCCAGAGAGATTCCCATCTATCTTAGCTAGACAGCCCCATGAGAGTGGCTCCCCAATGCCCCTGAAATGACAAAGGTTTTGGAGGATTTTTGTAAGCTTGTCCTGTTGGGCAGTGATCGGGCTCCTACAGTCAGGGCTATGACCTGGGCGGTGGGAGCTGGCTGTGGCTGGGGCTGGCCTGACAGATGCGGGATTGGCCTGGTCCAGAGAGGAGGGTCCAGAGAGGAGGCGGGAGGCACCCCCTGTGGGAAGGCCGTGCTGCCCATGTGGGTGGTCTGTGCCTGGCGGATGGGGGAAGGGGAGAGGTGGGCAGGGTGGGCCCAGCCAGGGGGTGCTTCATCATTCATCACAGTCCCCGTCCAGCCCGTGGGGGCCGTCTGTGGGGGAGTCCTGGGCAAGGAAAGAACCTTCCTGAAGGGGTATTGTGAGGCAGCGGATGAGGGAGGGTGGCCCCGGCCCCCGCCCCGCCCCCACCTTGTGGTCAGAGGGTGGGGGGAGAGCCCAGAGACAGGACGCTGGAGACGGGGGTCTCTTGCTGTTCGGTTTCCCTGTGGGGCGTGGACACCTCTGTGTCTGTGCCTCCGCCGTCTTCTCTGTAAAATGAGGGGTTAGCCTAGATTCTAAAATTCCTCCCGCCCTGGGCTTCCCCTACAGAAAGAATGCTCAGAGTATTTTGAAGGCTGTGCATCCGTCGGTGTGCGGATGAGGGGGTCCCGGGTTCAATTCCGGTCAAGGGCATGTACATTGGTTGTGGGCACATCCCCGGTGGGGGGTGTGCAGGAGGTAGCTGGCTGATGTTTCTTGCTCTCTATCCCTCTCCCTTCCTCTCTGTGAAAAATCAATAAAATATATTAAGAAGGAGAAGAAGAAGAAGAGTCCACGTCCGGGATTGTCACTGTCCTGGCGGGTGGTGGTGGTGGGGGAGGCCTGCTTTGATCAGTACACCCTTCGCCCTATTGAGAACAGGTGGAAGCACCCTTTTCTCTTCCCTGTAAGTGTGGAGACGGCTCCTCTCCCATCTCCCTAGACCACATGTGTCAAACACAAGGCCCGCGGGCCAAATCCGTCCCGCCAGGCCTTGCAATGTGGCCCGCACCGCGCTGTCATCACTGCACTCCACTGCGTTTCCATCACAATGACAGTTTATGACTGTTCAGTAAACCATTCATCCCTCGATTTAGGCTGGATTTTAGATTTTGGCCCCTTCTCTGATTGAGTTCGACACCCCTACCCTAGACACTCCTAGCTCCTCACCAGGTGGCATCTTCCTCTGACTGCTGCATGAAGTGTGACCACTCTGGGTGACCGCTGGCCCTCTTATCTCCCCCACTCTTCCTGTCACAGCGCGGGCGATCGAAAAAGCATAGGTCAGATCTGTCCCATCCTGCTGAGCCCTTCCATGGGCCTTCCAGGGCCCTGAGGCTCACGTCTGAGGCCCCTGTGCTCTCCCTGCCCGGGCCGGCTTGTTCACGTGGTGACATCCTGTTCGCTCCTGCCCTGTCTCCCCGGGGGTTCCTGGCCCCTGGCCCTCAGTTCTCTCCTCAGGCCGGTGTGCCCTGAGCCCTTGGCTGGGAACACCGTGCCCTGGTCCTGCCGCCTGTTTCTCATCTCTCGGATTCATCTCCGACACCAGCTCCTCAGAGAGGCCTTCGGTGGCCACACAGGCCAAAGGCGCCGTTTCATTATTTTCTGTTACTTTTCATAATAAACGTCTAATTTTGGACTTCCAGGTAAGCTGTGAAGACAGTGCAGAGTATTCTCCTATCAACCCTGCTCTCCCCCCTTCCCCCTGAGTTTTTCTATTATTCACCTCATGTGTTGGTATGCTTCATTTGTCACAAGAGACCCATCGATAGGAAGTTGTTACCAACTAAAAGTCCATGCTTTGTTCACATTTCCTTAGTTTTTCCATTAAGGTCTCTTTTCTTTGTGTTTTTTTTTTCTTTTTCTTTTTTTCTTTTCTGTTAATCCTCACCAGAGGATATTTTTCCATTGATTTTGGAAAGGAGGGAAAGGGGGGGGGGAGAGAGAGAGAGAGAGTGAGAGAGAGAGAGAGAGAGAGAGAGAGGGAGAGAGAAAAACATTGACAGGAGAGAGAGACACACACATTGATTGGCTGCCTCCTGCACGCATCCTGACCTACAACCCAGGTACATGCCCTTGACCAAGAATTGAACCTAAGACCTTTCGGTGTGCGGGCTGGTGCTCTAACCACTGAGCAATGCCATCTAGGGCTAACGTCCCTTTTCTGTCCCAGGATTCCACATAGGATACCACATTATATTTAGTTGATATTCTTCTTCGACTTGTCTTGGCTCTAACAACTTCTCAGTTTTTGCTTTTGATGACTTTGGGAGGGTTGAGGAATACTGGTCAGGTATTTTGTGCTGTGTCACTCAACTGAGACTTATCTGACTTTTTTTTTTTTTTCTCATTGGGCTGGGGTAGGCTGGAATAATGGGGTTTGGGGAAGAAGACCGCAGAATAAAGTGTCACAGAATACGTCACATCGTATTCAGGGTACATATTGTAAACTGCTTATGTTGACGTTGACCACAAATGCTTGGTCAGTTTTCTTGCCTTCCACACTGGATGCTTTAGAAGGAAGTCACAGTGTCCAGCTCACATGGTGTGGGGAGTTAGATTCCTCCTCCTTAAGGCCAGAATATCTACATCAATTACTTAGAATTCTTCTGTAGGGGAGATCTCTCTTTTCCCCCCATTTCTTTATTCAGTCATTTATTTATATCATCATGGACTCAGTTATTTTCTACTTTGGATTATACCCGTGGATTATACTGCGGCTCTCGAGCCACCTGCAGCTCTTTGGCCCCTTGAGTGTGGGTCTTCCACAAAATACCACGGCCTGGGCGAGTCTATTTTGAAGAAGTGGCATTAGAAGAAGTTTAAGTTTTAAAAATTTGGCTCTCAAAAGAAATTTTAATCGTTGTACTGTTGATGTTTGGCTCTGTTGACTAACAAGTTTGCCGACCAGTGGGTTATACAGTCCCGTACTAATTTACTTTGCTGCTCAAATTACTTCAGCTTTGGCCATTGGGAGCATTTCAGTATCCCTTTGACATCATAGGGCGGTTGACTGATTGATTGATTAATTGAACACTTTTTTATTTCCTGCCACTACAAGATGCTTTAGGCTCATCTTGTGTGTTTTCTGTCACAGTCCTAGGATTGGTCATTTGCCCAAGGAATCCTGCTTTTGTTTATTGGAGAATAGCCTTGGAAACGAGGATCCGCATTCTCAGGGTGCTTTTTGCTACTGATGAGTCTTTGATCCTAGGTCCTCTCAGCAGACAGCAAGGAAAAGTGTTCCTAGCCCATCTATATACCGGGTACATCTTATCTATAGGTATTTCTACCTTTATATAGAATTAAATGGGTCCATTACCACATGGATCATTCCAGCCTTCTCCCCTTACTTATCTGTAGCATCGCACCATCTGCCATTTGTTTACTACTTTTCTGGTACATTTTAAATCTTCGGCGTACAGCTGGATGAACTTGTAACACATGTGCGCTAATGGGACCACAACCCGGAGCAAGATAATTGAATATTTGTGGCATTCCAGACGGTTCCTCAAAATCACTCCTGATTTTCCTCATCTCCCTTGACCATGACCTTGTCATTCTTGTTTGTTTGTTGATGGTCTTCTCTGCTAAGATGTAGGCTCCTTTTCTCCTCATGTCCTAGGCCCCCTTCCATTCGAGATGCAGGATGGCAATGAAGACATAGAAAATCCTTGCTTTTGGAGCCATGCTCCTTGGATTTCCATTCTAGCTTGGGCCCTGCCTCGTTAGGTTATGCTTTGTGACTCAGTTTCCTCGTATACGCGGGGATGCTGAAGACAGAGGGTTTTGGTGAAGATTAAATCTGCTCACACATACAGAGTGCTCAGAATGGTACCTGGGACGAGGCGGGCGCTCAGAAATGTTAGCCATGATTAGAACTGGCATGAGCCGGGATGAGTTTGTATTGGTAAACTTGTTAGGTGGAGATCCTACTTACCACATTCTACACCTGCCCCCACTTACACCCTGCGGGAGGAGGGCTTGGAGGTAAATCCGGAAGGGAGGCACAGGAAATGAAGAATTGGTTAGGGTGACCTGGCAGTCAGGCTCAGGCTGGCTTCTTCTCTGTGGGCCTCCGAGGCACTGGAAGAAAGATGCT